TATGTTATCATAACATGAAAAATATAAAATACTGCGACGATTATCTATCATAGCTAAAAATGCTAAAAATTTACTTTAGCAAAATTTTATTTCATTTAATTTTTTTTTTTTTAAATTTATTTTTTACTAGTCAATGTGTGCAATTCACATATATCTAATACAATTTCCTGGAAAAAAATTCATTATTTTCATTACTCATATCTGACGTATGTTTTAGGAGTACGTGAAACGCTTCCACTTCAACGTTTGCTACAGCAATACATTATGCAAGCGAACCGTCCACCATGCCATCATTCTTCATTCATTTAAATTATTTCACTGAATTACCGGATTGCATTTGTGAATAGAAATTGTGAAAAGTACCCTATTCCCTTCTAAATTCCCTCTTCCCCAGTTCTTTTTGCACATTTCTACTGACTTTTAATGTGCTTTTTTTGTGAATTATTTGGATCTTTTGTTTATTAGTTGATTTCAATGTTTAATTTGTACTACGTTTAAATGTTTTAATTCGTATTGTGTATAACTTATTTATCTGTTTTACTAAAACTTCCCCCGTTTAATATTGTCTGCTGCTCCCTAAACCCTGATTCTAATTCTTATAGCCAAATTATTGGTTTCTTTGTGAATATGTTTGAAGAATTTGGAGTGTTTTATTTTTTATTTTAAATAAGCAGACCTTGTTTTCTTCATTGTGTATAGTTGTTAAAAGTTTTGTTTTTGTTTTCATTACTACCATTATACACAATCATTTTTTCAGGCATTTATTTTAGCGTAAACTTCGGAAATATCTAAATTAGTAGTTCTTCATTGCCTTCAAAATTAGCAATGCTATTTCGTCAAATATTGGATGTGAAAATCAATTGACTTTGGGTTATAGATATTCGATGTGCTATTAGGAAGCAAAGAAAAGACCTGTAGAGGTAAAGAATTAAGATTTATCAAACATTTATATTTCTAAAAAAAAAAAGACCTATGAATTTAAGACTTACTTCTGAAATACGTGTATAGGGTACATCCTATATTAGGATATAGGACTGATACACTGATATACTGCACAAAAATACCTAGATAGAATCCAGTTGTTTTGTTGAGAAATGAATTTAATTTCACATTCTAACTACTAATAAGCTGAGAGAATATTTGACAGAAGATGGTTTGAAAAAAAAAAAACTCGTTAGAGGTTGCAAATAATCAAATTTCAATAAAGAAATTTGAAAAGTTGCAAAATATTGAAAACATAAATTTTAAAAGCATTGAAATAATTCTGAAAATTCCAAAGATTTTTTTTTTTTTTTTGTTCGAGTTTTATTTATTTAACATATAGCACACTATCAGAATTTGTGCAATTCAAATTTATTTTCACATAAGTATTGTTGAAAAATTTTTTAAAACACTTCCTCTTTTCTGCCGTGATTTCCGGATAAGAAGAAAAATAAGATTTTTGATAAATGTATGACCAATAATTAACGAATAACAAAAATGATTAGTGATAATTTGCTACTAGTATAAATTAATTTCAGGATTAGAAATTTCCTAAATATTTATAACAAAGTATAATGAGGGACTTTTGTAACATCTCAAATAATATGAAATTTAATAATTAGTTCACATCAATAATTAATTATGTCAAATATAATCCTTGAAAAAGAATTAGGTAACGAACTATTTCAAACATTTAATACGTCATTTTTGACAGTGAATCAGTTGATTGAACATAACAAATAATTAGGTTTCAATAAAATTCTTTTAATTTCAAATATATCAAATGTTTTTGTTTATTTTTGTTTAAATTGTTTATTGAAAATCATAACAAAGTGCAAATCTATACCAAATTTTATCAACTTTTAATTAAAGATATGAATTTTGATTTGTTTTTAGAATTTGATTCAATTCAAAAAAAAAAAACAAACCTTTAATATATTAAAATTTTAGCATATTTGAAACTCATGTCAATAGTTCCTTTTTCATTCTTCCTTTTGTTTTTTTCTTTTTTTTTTGCAATACTTAAATTTATTTTTTTAATTTCTCAATTCTGACATTTTGGCGTTTTTATTGCTTTAAATAAAGTTTCAGCAATTTACTTAATAAATTTATCGATTTCTACCTTATAATATTATGAGCTCAAGAAATTGTTATTAACCTAACGAATTACCTTGATAGACTGATAAGCCTGATGAACTACCTTGATAAGCTGATAAACCTAACGAATTACCGTGATAAGCTGGTGAGCTTAATGAATTACCTTGACAAGCTGATAAGCCCAACGAATTGCCTTGATAAGCTGGTGAGCCTAATCGAATTACCTTGATAAGCTGATAAACCTAACGAATTACCTTGATAAGCCGATAAGCCTAACGAATTACCTTGATAAGCTGGTGAGCCTAATGAATTACCTTGATAAGCTGATAAGCCTAACGAATTACCTTGATAAGCTGATAAGCCTAACGAATTACCTTGATAAGCCGATAAGCCCAACGAATTACCTTGATAAGCTGATAAGCCTAATCGAATTACCTTGATAAGCTGATAAGCCCAACGAATTACCTTGATAAGCCGATAAGCCCAACGAATTACCTTGATAAGCCGATAAGCCTAATCGAATTACCTTGATAAGCTGATAAGCCCAACGAATTACCTTGATAAGCTGATAAACCTAACAAATTACCTCGATAAGCTGATAAGTCTGACGAATTATCTTACTTATATGACTAGGAAATTTTAACTATTCAGTAAAATTATCACATTATGCTAATTAATCATTTGAAATCAAATATCAATAATTGCTGTGTTAAATAGCTTTGGCATATTAAAAATTTTATATTTTTTTTTTTATAAATAAACATATTTGTCTTAATGAATAGAAAAAGTAATAATTCATAAAGAATGATTGAATAGTTTTTTCAATTTTATTAAATTAATTATTCCTTTTTTTGTTTTTATTTTAATTATTCCAATTCAGTTATATTTGATTTTTAAATTTCTAATTTTTTAGATTCTTAAACTGTAAAACTCTTTCATTTATATGAAATTGAGATAATTTAAATGAAATGGCAAATGTAAATTGATTTGACTCAATGAGAGATATTATTTGGTAGAGAATGATGAAATTGATAAGAGATTGGTGTAATAGCATTTGAAAATATGTATGCAGACGTAAAAAGTAAAGTTTGAACGAGGTTTATGCACAGATTGCGAAGTACTTGCGAAATTAAATTGTTAGGGTGGGAGGAAGGAACAGGTTGGGAAAGGTTTTAGGTTAAGGTTAGTGGGTATATCTATGTACCTGGATTAGTTTACAGGTTAGTGGGTATATCTATGTACCTGGATTACTTTACAGGTTAGTGGGTATATCTATGTACCTGGATTACTTTACAGGTTAGTGGGTATATCTATGTACCTGAATTACTTTACAGGTTAGTGGGTATATCTATGTACCTGAATTACTTTACAGGTTAGTGGGTATATCTATGTACCTGAATTACTTTACAGGTTAGTGGGTATATCTATGTACCTGGATTACTTTACAGGTTAGTGGTTACTACTAGTAGTGTTACCATTACTTAGTAATAAAGTAATAGTGTTGTTGTAATAGTAGTAAATAGTAATATGGTGGTAAAATATAGTTATAAACAGTAGTATAGTAGTAAAATATGGTAATATACTAGTAAAATATAGTAATAAATAGTAGTATAGTAGTAAAATATAGTTATAGATAGTAATATAGTGGTAAAATATAGTGATATACTGGTAAAATATAGGATTGAACAGTAATATAGTATAAAAAAAATGATAGTAATAATGTTGCGATCAATTAAATTATTACTGGTAATATATATTTCCTAGTAGATCATTATTATTCATAGTAATAATTTATTTTTTTTTGTTCAATTTTTAGAAAAAAGAAAAGTTAATTTTGCCCAATTTGCAGGTGTGACTGATTTGCTACAAAAAAGATTTAATGTTACTGGTATCTCCGGTGATTCGGTGTCTTCGTCTAAGTCGTATTATTCATCGTACACTCTTGGGAAGTGTTTCTTCGCAAGGAAGATTATCGTTAACTTATACCTGTAGGGTTTGTGGTACTCGACAGGTAAATATTTTTAAAGATTTTTTTTTTTGTTTTGTCCACTTATTCATTTAGTACTTTATTAGAGAGAAGTAGAATAGCTAATTATTCTTGGTAGGTTTATAGTTTGTTGTAGCAATAATTATACTGTGTAAGTTGTTATCTATGTAAGTTAGTTTGTTAATTAGTTAATGACATGCATAATTGGTGTTTTTGATTTATACATAGTGTAAGATTTGTAAATTTTTGTGTGACATAATGATAGAATGTAGCATTTAAATAGGAAGCATATGATAGATGGTATGAAATGTAGCTTTAATTTGAAATTCTCAGTAATACCTGTCCAAAGGAAAGTTCGAAAGAAAAAGAAACGAATTTTAAGGGTCCAAAATTTCTTTCCGAGAAGGCATACAAAGAAGGTGTTGTTATTGTAACTTGTGACAGTTGCAAAAATTATCATTTAATTGCTGATAATTTGGGTTGGTTCCCGCAATCCAAAGGTTCAAGAAATATTGAAGAGATTCTCAAAGAAAAAGGTGAAGAAGTGAAAAAAGGCATCGATCTTGTCGATATAGCCAAATGAGGTAACTTTTTAGAAATTCAGTTATTGTTAAATCAAATAATTTGGAAGTATTAACTATAGGAGCATTTACTATATAAGAAGCTAAACTATAATTGATCGAATAAATAGTAATAGTCAGAAAGTTTTTATAAAACGTCTTGCGTGTTTTTTTTTTTTTTATGAAGAAAATTTTGACATAATCTATACTTTGATTTCATCATGAATGAAGAAGGAAGAGCATTTTAATACCTAATCTTTCATCTAGAATATGTGAAATTAAAATGCTTAGATAATTTTTAAATGTCATGCTTAACATCATGCTCGAAAATTATGTAACAATTTCTTTTCTTTTCCAGTTAAAAATAAAAAAATATGTCACTGTACACATCACATATTTCAACTTCTTCGTTACAAAAAGGATTACTTGCATTCGGCTCGGCAATAACAGCACTTTTAAATCCGATGAGAGCAGGTTATTACTCTTTTTTTTTTCATTTTTTTAATTAACTAGAACTTGTATGTGTAAGTTTTCTATATATCTATCTAATTTATCTATTTACCGATTTATTATCTCTCTATCGATTGAAATTATTTTGCTTACTGAAGTTAATTCTATGATAGATGATTATTTTCAGATATGGTAGCAACAATGGGTGAAACAACAGCTTTTCGACCGATACTGGAAAAAATTCGTCAACGAATGGAAGGCGATATATGTGGTAGAAAAATTTTGAGGTTTAAATTCTTATATGTCTGAAGGACGGAAGGAATGTGATTTTGTTGCTGTTTTTAAGTCACGAATATCTGATCGTTAGTAATGTTTGCGATATCATAAATAATTAATTCATTATAATGCCTAGTAAAGAAAAGCTAACACTGCGTATTTTCAACTTGAAGAAACATTTTTTGGAAAATGAGTTATTTGTAGAGATCGTCCAAGAATAACGAGTGCAACTATTGATTTGAGTTATCTTCGAACACTTCCTCATGGAACACTTGGCAAAGAATATTCCATATTTCTCGAAAAGTTGAATACTACTCCAGACGACCGTCCCACTGTTAAGGTTTCTTTTGTAAATTTTGCAACTAGTTTTTTTTTTGATAAGATTTTTTTGCTATTTGAGTACTCTGTTAACAGTTAAAAGCAGTCTGAATGAATAGTTGAACATTAATGTTGTGAACTTTCTTCAAGTAATTTTGATGAGAAAGAGGATAAATTAAACTAAAGAGTAATTCTGGAAGTCATAGTAGCTGATATGTTTTAAAAATTTTAAATTTGAAAAAAAAAGAATAAATTGTTGTCATATTGCAGGTAGAACTTGTATGTTACTTTATCAATTTCTGAAATTCCCAAATTTAAAGCCTTTTTTGTTTCAGTTTATTGATGATGACGATTTAGTTTACGTTATGCAGAGGTATCGTGAGACGCATGATTTCAATCATTTAATTTTGCAAATGAAAACGACTTTGCTTGATGAGGTAATTATCGTGTTACTCAAAGAATGATAATCAGTGATGTCTAAATTGGTAATTTTGACATTAAAAATGTACTGATCAAATCTATGGTTTCTATAATTTCTGATGTTCTGAGATTGAGAATTTAAAAAAGCAAAATTAACGCATAATTATGACACTTAAAATATCTTTTTTTTTTCTTGCGAGACATTGTGAAGAAATTTCCAAAGGTTTTAGAAATCAGAAAGTATGGTTGCATAGCGTACTGGACATAAAGACTTATTGTGATCCAAATGTATATTATTCTTTATCAAATGACAGTAAATATATATGTTTTATTAGTTGGTGGAATTGAAGTATTGATAATCACATCTCTTGTAATGTATAACTATCTGAAATTATTATTTTCTAAAAAATAACTGTTATTTTCAGATCGCTGTTAAATGTTTCGAAGGCATACAGCTTGGTTTACCGATGTGTATTCTTGGTGGTGTATTTGGTGGTTTGAAATTAGAGCCAAAGTAAGTTAATTGTCGCAATTGCTTGAAAAGAAATCTAACTTATGGAATTATTTTTGAAAAAAAAAAAAAAAAAAAAAGATTTGCTTATGGAATATTTTTGAGAAAAAAGGAAATACATATGTTAATTTCAAAATGATTTAAAATGCTTTCAGGCGTCAACGTGCTTTTATCCAGCAATATTTACCATGGTGTGTGGAACAGGCGGTGAATTCACGTTTACTAATTGCTGTTGATTGGGAGAATCATTTCGAGAAACCAATTTCTGAATTGCAAAAAACTTACTCAATCACTCCTTTTATTTGCTAATTTTCCACTAATCATTTCGAGAATGCCTGCTAAAGTAATTCTCATCCAGCAAATTATTGTTCATCATAGCTTTCTTTATTTCAATATGAATTATCTAAATTATCTACATGCTTATATCATGCTTTCTTACATACGATGAAAAGCATTTTTTTTTTTTTTTTTTTGCATATGTCTTAATTTGTCGCATTTGCTATTTATTTATGTGACATTATCCTTGGAAATAAGATTATAAATATTACACAAACTATCCTAAAATTCTTTGGATTATACTCAGTGATAGTTAATCGCTAAAACTGCATTAATTCTTTACAATCTTTTTCTTTTTTTAATTTAAAAAAAAAAAAAGAAAAGAAAAGTTCCTTGTAAACAGTATGTGTTTGGATTTATGCTGCTTTTGCTTTCATTTTATTCACTGTTCATCAGTTGTGCTTTCAACGAAATCTAACTGTTACAGTTTATACAAATGGATTGTTTTTTTTTTTCCCTCATTTTAAAGATATATGAGAAGCTAGCTACAAATGTTCATAGGAATATATTCTTCTTTTGTAAACACAATTAATTCAAGAATTGTATACATTCTTTATTCTATCTAAAATGTAAGTAGATTTGAATTTTTTCTAACCGAAGCTTCTAGAAATGCAAAATTATGTGCCTGATTTTTCATTTAAATTGCTAAAAATTATCATATTTTTTTCTGGCATTTATAGTGTGCATATAAAATTAATAATAAAATTAATTGAGTTCTTTTTATAAAATTCATTGGCTTATTTTTTGCAAAACCGATGTATTTTTACGTGGAAATGTAAAAATTTTTACTCCAAATCATGGCTTCATTTTCATTTCACTTTCTTATTTGTAGCTGAAGAGATGTTACAATTTATCTGAATTATTTCGAAGCATTGATTTACATACAGATTTGTATGTGACGTACGCTTATTATTGACTGACGTACGGATTTGCATATGACGTACGCTTATAAGCTATTCAATGGTTATTAGATTTTTAACTTTTCACTTTTATTTTTCCTTTTCAGGTGTGTTAAAGTTTGAAAACGTGAATATAATACAAAGAATGGTACAACATAATCTAAAGAAGAAAGTATCATTACCAGTTGTATAAAGCATTGATTTACATACAGACTTGTATGTGACGTACGCTTATTATTGATTGACGTACGGATTTGTCATATGACGTACGCTTATAAGCTATTCAATGGTTATTAGATTTTTAACTTTTCAGTTTTATTTTTCCTTTTCAGGTGTGTTAAAGTTTGAAAACGTGAATATACAAAGAATGGTACAACATAATCTAAAGAAGAAAGTATCATTACCAGGTGGTGTAAAGCAGAAGAGAAAAATGAAAACTTCAAAACAAGGTCCCAAGAAAGGTCATCAATTAATAATCGCTCCAAAGAAGCCTGCTGCAATACAACAAGCTAAAATTGATTCAGAGATAACGCGAACAATAAATGATAAAAATGAACAGTTGCTAAAAGGTCGCGCGAATAAAGATGTTGGTCGAACTACTACTTCTACCTAAATGTTTCCATTACAACTATTTTAATTCATTAATTGTAGTGTTAATTAATTCTAAATTGAATATATAACATTTAATTTTGATAAAAGTTAAATGAAATGTAATTTAACATTTAATGCATTTTGAAATGAATGGAAATAAATTGCAATGTAATATATTTCACATTTAGATAAGAGAAATTTTATTTTAAAACATTCCGTATAGTACAGAATGAAAATTACTACCTTCAAAACTTGAAATAATAGCAAATTTTAGAATGGAAATGTTTTTTTTTTTTTTCATATATTATTAATTTAGTATTGGTATCTGGAATGTTCTTCAGAGAGAGAGAGAGAGAGAGAGAGGGAGAGAGAGACAAGTTGATATTATATTTCTTTCAGTCCACTTCATTTGTCGCATTTATTGCGCTGTGTGATTATTTGGGATTTACTTTAGAAAGTAACTTGTCTTTGAGATAAATGTCTTTTTATGTTTTGTATTAAATATTTTCAGCGATTCTTTTTCAGTGTAATTAGAAATGTTTGCTAGGAATCACTAGGATATCCCGGGAATGGGTAATTTGAATATAGCATGATAGTATGACCGAATGTGCACCCGGTGATGAGAGAATTTTAACTACATCAACCACGATGCACATCCTGAAGCACCATCAATCGATTTACCTTGCTCAGGTAAGGTAAGGTAAGGTAAAGTAAGGTAAAGTCAATCGGATGAGAAAGCTATCATTTTAATTAAACAATTTGTTATTGGGAAGAAATATTTGCGATGAGATTTTATTTTGGCTGAGCGGAATAAGTGACCAACATGTCGAGAGGAAGACGAAATGTCGAATGAAGTGCTTAGTGCACAAATGTTGATCGAGAGAAGAGCGGGGAGGGTTGACCTCGAGGTCACGCGATGACCAATGGTCAAAAGCAACGCGGTTCTGCCCTTTTCATTCCTAACTATTAGAGAGAGAAAGGGAGAGAGAGAGAGAGAGATGACATATAGAAGATTGTGCTCTAACATTCTGTGATCTCTGTAGTAAACAGTAGTGTATGGAAGGAAGGGTAAACAGAAATTGGACAAATATAATTTTAATGTCTGGAAAAGAGTGAAGTAATATTAGTAATAGCAGTTTTTATTATGAAGGTCACATCAAAAACTAATGAAAGGTCAAATCTTATTTTCTATTCCTTCCTTTCCCTGACCTTTGGCCTAATTTCCAAATCTTCTCTCCTTCCATCTCAAAACCTTTCAACACTAAATAATACAAATTGCAGAAGTATACATTCATATATTGATAAGATTACTTTTACAAAATAGTATTGAAAATAAAAACTTGAAAATATTTTTTCCAATCTTTACAATATATTTGTCAATGTTAGCATAGTAAACTAAAAATGTATATATAACTATAAATATCACAGATATAACTCTCTCTCTCTCTCTCTCTCTCACACATTTATATTAGCCCGAAATATTAGGCCTAGTGAAGGATATTTTTATAAGGCCAAATAAAAGTTAAAATTGACACTGAATAATAATTGATTAGACAGAAATACAGGATGATAACATATCTAACGTAAAGTTAATATTTAATTCAACGTTTTGAATATGAAAAAGAATAATGATAATATATTGTTAGACAGGTAAATTGAATTTGCTTTATTTATTTATTAAAATAGAAATTTCATATTTTTTTTTTTGATTATTAAAAATTTTCCACACATATTTAAATTTAAACTTTTTTTTTTCTTAACAATTTCTGCTGAATTCATTTTTGCAGACAATATCCTTAGCATAATTAACTGAATAAAGTTTATTCTGATTATAATTTATAAATTTTTATAAATTTTCATTTCATACAACATATTCATAAAATAGCTTAAAAAAAAAAAACTAGAGAGAATTTGTTAAAATTAAAAATGATTTCAACTAATAAGTATGCAAATGCATAAGTTAAATATATGGATGAAATTTTTATTTTCAAAATAATCAAACTAATCATTATCTAGGGGAATTGTGCTTAAAAAATCAAGAGAAAAATTGGATTTAAATTAAAATTGGAAATGATTTAAAATTAAATTTAAAAATGATTTCAACTAATTAAATATAGACGAAATCTCCAAGTATATAGAAAAAAAAAGAAATATTAAATACATGGATGAAAACTTCTATTTTCAAAATAATCAAATTAATCTAAAAAATCATTATCTGAAAGAGATACTGATAAACTACAAGTATTTTTGAAAATTTCTGTTAAATTTCAATTTCACTTAAAAAAAACTTCAGAAATGAATCTCCAAAAAAAAACCTCCAGTAATTACTACTTCACAATTTTAATGCTATAACAATTCTTTTGTTATCAATAGCAATTCCAATTTAAACTAATACTTCCAATAAAAATTAAAATTTTTTTCTAAAACTACAATCTTTGAAAAATTTAAATGAAATAATCAATGTTAGAAATAATAGCTTTCACTTTTAAATAATTAATCTTATCGATAAATTTTTAAATTATTTTCAGTGAAATTTTTTTTTTTTTGCAATGATAAAAAAATTATTAATTTTGGTGACACATTGTTAACTTTTCAATTGTTTTATTTAATTTGATACATTTATTATTGTGATATTCAAGCATTTGATAATGATAAAAGTGATAAGTCTTTGTATGTTTATTAAATATTTTCAGCGATTCTTTTTCAATGTAATTAGAAATGTTTGCTAGGAATCACTGGGATATCCCGGGAATGGGTAATTTGAATATAGTATGATAGTATGACCGAATGTGCACCCGGTGATGAGAGAATTTTAACTACATCAACCACGATGCACATCCTGAAGCACCATCAATCGATTTACCTTGCTCAGGTAAGGTAAGGTAAAGTAAGGTAAAGTCAATCGGATGAGAAAGCTATCATTTTAATTAAACAATTTGTTATTGGGAAGAAATATTTGCGATGAGATTTTATTTTGGCTGAGCGGAATAAGTGACCAACATGTCGAGAGGAAGACGAAATGTCGAATGAAGTGCTTAGTGCACAAATGTTGATCGAGAGAAGAGCGGGGAGGGTTGACCTCGAGGTCACGCGATGACCAATGGTCAAAAGCAACGCGGTTCTGCCCTTTTCATTCCAACTATTAGAGAGAGGGAGAGAGAGAGAGAGAGAGAGAGATGACATATAGAAGACTGTACTCTAACATTCTGTGATCTCTGTAGTAAACAGTAGTGTATGGAAGGAAGGGTAAACAGAAATTGGACAAATATAATTTTAATGTCTGGAAAAGAGTGAAGTAATATTAGTAATAACAGTTTTCCTTGTGAAGGTCACATCAAAAACTAATGAAAGGTCAAATCTTATTTTCTTTTCCTTCCTTTCCTTGACCTCTGACCATTCACATTTTTTTTTTATCTTCTCTCCTACTTTCTATCTCAAATCACAAAAAAATTGATCCATTTTGACCATTTGATACTAAAATAG